TAGACAGTTAGCTAACATTTAAAAGTCCTCCAATAAAGATGCAAGGTTTTCTTTCTTGACTTTACTGTTCTTCTTTTACTTTGTAAAACTGTAACAATACAGAAATAAAACACATATAAGTATGCAGGCTTTACATAACATATAAGTAGCACTGTACAAACGACACACATACTACTATTAGGAATTAGCTATCATTAGCATCACTATTAGCTAGCACACATCAGAATCGTCACTTCCTGTACTGACAGTGGAGGTGTCCTGAGAGTGGAGGTCTGCAGGCAGACCCCTCTCCAGAATTCTGTGATTTGTTCAATACAAATCTTTACATTGCTTTCATACAGAAGTTCCACTTTACTGATGCCTTTCTTTAAGGTTTCTCTAAACATGAGCTGTGCATGCTTGTATGGCACTTCCGAGCAGCATACACAGAGGAAATCAGCCAGGACAGAGTCCCCAGACACTGATCCCCTGGGTTTTTATCCCCAAATGTTCATTAACCAAAAACGAAATACAGCCGCTCAGCTTCACAGATAATTTTAGGATACTGTCAATCACAGATTCTGGTAAGGCAATGTCCAAATGTGGATTTGAAATTACACTTACCAGTCCTGAAGATTTGTTGGTATCCTGCCGACAACGCCAATTTGTGGGGGAAACTGCTGTGTAGCTATGCAGTGGGAGTCACCGACTCATGAAGGAGACACGGATGAGCAGGAGCTTTGATTTCAAACACTAGGGATGTAACGGTATCAAATACTCACGGTACGATAACATCGCGATAACAAGTCCACGGTACGGTATTTATCTCGATATTGAAAAATAAAGGAAAACAAATTTTCATTTTAATTTTTTAGTTGAATTTTATATTTGTATTAAATAATAAACCTGATTTGTACAGCATTTTAGTACAGTAGTACATTTAATGTGTCAAAAACAAAGTGACGGTAACAGACTGGAACAAGAACAAACCAGTGGTTTTTTACATAACAAAGTAGGCATTTTCCTTCTGCAAATAAACAAGGAAATTCAATCATCAGACCCTGCAATAAAATTAAAATAAATTTCAAGTAACTCAACTCAAACTCACTAACTCACTCTCACTCATCAGACAGGTTTTTTTCAGGAAGATGGGCATGTCCACATTTTCAGGTAGAAGCTGGGATCTTTGGGTGTTTACAATATCCCCTGCTGTGGAAAAAACTCTCTCACTTGGTACTGATGTGGCTGGGACAGAGAGATATGCTTTGGCCATGGGTGACAGCAGTGAGTAAAGCGTTGCACTGTCTCTCCACCACTTGAGAGGACAGTCAGAGAATAAGATAGAGGTCGCTTTGCGGTACAAGTCAATTTCAGCCTCGATACCAGCGTTGTGCTGTGCGCATGGCACTTATTTACTGAAAGACTCCCCAAGGAGATCTTTGAGTGCTGTCTTTTTGGAAGGAGGAGATTGTTCCATATCAGCGTCATGTGCTGTGTGCGGCACAGCTGCTCTTTCCCCTTCTGTTTCACTAGGGTTCTGTGCAAGCAAGCAGAGGTAGAAAAAAAAACGTCCTAAATGTATTATCTTTCTTTTCACAAAAACAACAGATACATACACACAACTTATACTTTATCTGAACAAGTATACACAGACAGTACACAAAGAATATTTAAATATGTACCTGGTTTTGCATCTGTGTAGCTTTCAACTTCAGCCTGTCGAAAACGTCCTCCCTTTGACTGTCATTTAGCTGCTGCAAGCTCCGGAACTGGGAGTTCAACGCAGTGCTTTCTTGCAGAAACTTGTTTTGCTCCCCTTGGTATCTGTCTGTGAAGTCCTTCAGTATGGCTCTCTTCATTTGGGCGATGGTGGAGGAGTCCTCATCGCACTGTGCCATGCTTTGTTCTATTATGTGTGGGGAAAGTCCAGCCTCTCTCACCGCTACATCCATATGTCGTGCGTTGTCTGTTACGACAGCAATGCCTTGATTGTTGTTGCTCGTCATGTTGAGCCCCCACTCCAAAACAGCAGATTTTAACACCTCAGCTATGTTGAGTCCAGTGTGTGATGTGAAAAGAGGCCGCAACAAATGACTTCTCATGTTCGATGTATTTCCCGAATTGTAGTTGACCGTTGCCCGGCAGGATTTGCAAATAGTTTTGCATTTTGTCAGTTTGCTTTTCACCATTGTCATTTATTGAAACAGGAAAACTGAAATGCTGCCACACATCAGCTTTAAAACTCAATGGAGCTTCCTCAATTTCACATTCTTTATTTAGTTGTTGGTCAACACATTCGTCTACAAATTTGTTCTCCATCTTCTCGTTGGGTCTGAGTGAGAGCACGCTTGCTTGCACGCAAAGGATGATGGGAGTCTGTCTTCTTGACTAGTATTATGGCGCCCTGTGCTGTTCAAACAAAAACAGTACAGTTTTTTCCAATAAGGTGAGGAATGAACCATGTAATATCGCGGTAGATTTAGTCAGTTTCACGATGGTATTGAGCCGTTTGTTTACCGCGATACCCAGTATATCGTTACATCCCTATCAAACACTGATGGTTTATTTAGGAGTATCGGCCGGAGGATTCACATCACAACTCACTTAGTGACGATCTGACTGCACGTGAGAGTTGCCACGTCAATTCTGAAGCGCCTCTCTCTCGCTAGACCTAACTGGTTTCACAGAGAGTAATCAACATATTTGAGGAGATATTATTGAAAACAATAATGCATTTAATTCTTATTTGTATCACTCAGGGTTTTCAATGACATTATGATGGCATCGGATGCAGGTGTTTGCATGGTTCTGGTGTTGTTGTACCTGAGTGCAGCGTTTGACACAGTGGACATCATGCTAGTCATGCTAGATAGACTCAGGGAGTGGGTAGGCATCTCAGGGTCTGCCCTCCAGTGGTTTGCCTCGTACCTCCGTTCTCATCACACAGCAGTCCACTATCCTGCGGCCTGCCCCAGGATCCTGTTTTTAGCCCCCTTCTTTTGGCCCTTTCCATGCTCCCATTAGGCCCCTTAATTAGCCAATCCAAGACTGTCTCGTATCACTGTTAAGCAGATGATAGCCGGATATATTTCTCTTTCAAACCCGTCATAACCCTGATTACATGTCCGTCTGCAATTGAGGAGTGGATGTCAAGCAACTTCCTACCGCTCAATGCATAAAAAACGGAAGTCTTGGTCTCAGCGGCTGATAACAATGCCACCTGGGTTAATTTACGGCCCGTCCACACGGCGGCGTGCATTGAAGCTTCAACGCTTCTGCCCATTCACTTTGAATGGGGTGACGTCACGTTTAGCCAAATTGCATTGTGGGAGCGAAGCGTAGATTTGCTCGCGTTGCTGGCGACGAAAGTTGAGCAATGTTCAACTTTTGAAGCTTCGGCGGAAGCGTCAGCCAATCGAATCATATCCCAGTACAAGCTCTAGGCAATCAAATCGCGTGCTTCTGTGTCCGGGGCGGGAGATTCATGTGATTGGTTATTGGTCGAGTTTCAGACCCCCCCCGCCGGCAAGCGATAACACACGCCGCCGTGTGGACTGGCCGCTAGTGGTAACGTTAGGGCAAACATAAAAAACCCAGGTGTAACCTTCGATCAGTTTATGCTACTAGACAAACACATCAAACTCCTGACCCGTACCTGTTTTTTCCACCTCAGGAACATTGCCAAGCTCAGGGGCTTTCTATCCAATGCACAACTGGAGATGGCTATCCATGCCACTGTAATGTTCTCTTCTCCTGTCTCAACAAAACATCAATAAACCGGCTACAACAGGTCCAAAATGCTGCAGCCAGATTACTCACTCGGTCTAAAAAAAAACATGCCACATCACTCCGATCCTTTCTGCCCTGCACTGGCTCCCTGTCCATCTCAGAACCCAATGTAAGGTATTGGTTTACACATATAGAGCAGTCCATGGCCAAGCCCCCGCCTACATTAACGACCTTATCCACTATCACAGGACAATCTGGGCCCTGAGGTCCTCCAAGCAAAGCCTCTTAAGGGTTCCCGAACCAGGCTAAAAACTAAGGGGGACCGTGCCTTTGAGGCGGTGGAGCCTATGGAATGAACTCCCCCAGAAACTGAGAGCCTCTGTCTCACTGGAGGTTTTTAAGGGGCAGCTAAAGACTCACCTTTTCCGACAGGCTTTTGGGGCGTTGGAGGAGGTGAGTTTGTAGCTGTTTTTCATTGGTGTTTTATCCTATCTTTTACTGGATGTGTTTTATCCCTTTTATTATAAACAAAACATTTTTCCCAATGTTTAAAATCTGTCATACCAGTCCCATGTTCATATATATATATACATATATAATTATTTGAATACTGTTAGTTTTTTCACCACAGGGGGCAGTGAAATTATGTTTAAAAGAAAAACTCTAATCCCATGATGCATTGCGGCGGTCCGTTTCTAGCTTCCGGTCCTCAGAAGCTACACGTTGCTAACAGACGTTGATGCAGATTTTATACCGAATGTAATGTGTTTAAGAGACTTTTAAAAACACATACAAAGAGTTAGTTTATCCTTGGAGGGGTGATTTATCCGTGCTTTTATCCCTTAAACCGTGTTTTTGTTGCCTCCCGTTCTTTTTTCGTAGCTTTTTATACCATGTTGCTGATCGTAAAGGCATTAACCCCGGGAATAGTGGATAGGAAAAGACAATAGGAGCTGATTTTTGGACAATTTGACTGCAACCCAGAACAGACTGCTAACTCAACAGGAACTATCAAAAAGATCCCTATAGAAGTTTAAAGTCACAACATTTGATCAACCAAACAGATTATTGGAGAAACTACTCTGCAGATTAATGAACAGTGAAACTAAATTCCTTCAATGCATATTAACGAGGCTAGCAGTTGAGATATAAATCCATGGTTTAAACACAGCATAGTAAAACATTTCTTCATAGTTCAGGAACCATTACAAACATCAATTCAATTGGAGAAACAGCATCTCTGTGGCCTTGTGTTGGCATAGTGTGAACGCTGGTCAGAACATAAAAAACTATTGTAATAATAAAGCTTTATTTATACAGTACTTTTCATACAGCACGTGCAGCTCAAAGTGCTTTACAAAATGGCGACACATCACAAGTTAAAAATAAACAACAAGAAAGTCCCTTCAGATGTTAAGACTTTTACAGACAAATGCAGCAAAATATAACATTGTAACAGGTTAAGATACACAAGGAAGTAAAAGATATGATAATAACAAATGAAATACAGTAAAAAAAAAAAGATAAGACACAAGTGAAAAGATTCAACAATATAAAACCCTATAAAATAAAGTGAACATATCGGTACAACAGAAATAGAAACTACATGTATAGTAATAAAAACGTCATAATTCTAATAAAGGTTAAAGGATTAAAATATAAAGAAACCAACATAAAAATAAATGTTGCTATTGAAACTGTTAACTAACTAATATGAGATAAAACCCTTCCTATATCAGAAATGAAACAATATAAAAGTAGGTAAATAATAAAGACTAAAAGATCCATTTCAAGTGGGGGGTTGCTAATAAAAAGCTAATCTAAAGAGATGTGTCTTTATCTGGCGTTTAAAAATGTACACTGAGCCTCTCTGATATTTCCTGTTGTTCCACAGTTTGGGAGCGTAGTGGAGAAAAGCCTCACCCATTATATTTTGGGGAATTTAGGGATATTTAAAAAGCTGAAGAGGACCTCAGGGCTTGTCCTGGCACATAAAACGAGACTGACTCATTGAATTTAAGTCTGTTAATCAGACTTCAATTCAGAAAGACTCTTAAAATATAACTACAGCTCTCAGGACACCAGGAGGAGGAAACAGCTAGCTTGGCTCTCATAGTTGTTCAAAACTATGCAGAATGGCTCATGAACTGTAACCTGTTAAGCCCTGAGCCTGTGTCTCAGGTCTCAGACTGGAAAATGACATTTCCAGAACAAATGACAATAACTACACTTCTAAAAGAGAAAAAAAAAAAAAAAATCTGTTAGCTGAGTTTCTTCCCGTTACATGGATATAAAACATTCATAATCTATTGATTATTAAGATGCCCTCAGACGCTGTTTCCTGCAGATGACGCGTTTTCCCCCCGGTACCGGGGGGGGGCGGTGTAGATCAGGTTCAGGTGAATACTTTGAGAAACCGTTTTCCCACACTCTTCAAACCACTATGGTTTCTCTCCTGTGTGAACACTGTGATGGATTGTGAGTTCACTTGATGTCCTGAACGTTTTTCCCACACTCTTCTCAGCTGTACGTTTTTTATCCAGTGTGAATACGCTGATGTGTTTTGAGACCACTTGATGAAGTGAACGTTTTCCCACAGTCTTCACACCAATACGGTTTTTCTCCAGTATGAATTCGTTGATGCGTCTGAAAATTACTTGATGTCGTGAATGTTTTCCCACACTCTTCACAGCTGTACGGTTTCTCTCCAGTGTGAACACGCTGATGTGTTTTGAGATGACTTGATGAAGTGAACGTTTTCCCACAGTCTTCACACCAATACGGTTTTTCTCCAGTATGAATTCGTTGATGCGTCTGAAAATTACCTGATGTCGTGAATGTTTTCCCACACTCTTCACAGCTGTACGGTTTCTCTCCTGTGTGAACACGCTGATGTGTTTTGAGATGACTTGATGCAGTGAATGTTTTCCCACACTCTTCACAGCTGTATGGTTTTTCTCCAGTGTGAATAAGGTGATGTGATTTGAGAGCACCTGATTGAGCGAAAGTTTTCCCACAGTCTACACAGCTGTACGGTTTCTCTCCAGTGTGAATACGTTTATGTCTTTTGAGCGCACCTGATTGAGTGAAAGTGTTCCCACAGTCTACACAGTTGTACGGTTTCTCTCCAGTGTGAATACGTTGATGTTTTTTGAGATTACCTGAAATAGTGAATGATGTCCCACAGTCTTCACAGCTGTATGGTTTTTCTCCAGTATGAATAAGCAGGTGGCTCTTTAAATGTCCAGATGTTGTAAAGGATTTGTCACATTGCTGACAGCTGTGACGTCTCTCTCTTCCTTTCGGTTTCTAGAACAGACAGACAAAGAAAGAGAGAAAATAAAACTAAAAAGCATATACATATACAAATAACACAATAAAAACGTACTTAATATAAATATTGAGTTAACGGAATACTAATTTTACTAACTGTTTGTGTTTAGTATATTTGTATTATATTAGATACAGTAACAGCAACATTCTAACCACATTGTAAACCAGAGGTGGGGGATTCGAGTCACATGACTTGACTCGAGTCGCATATTTTTGGACTTGAGCGTTGCTTGATTAACATTGATAAAATCCTCGACTTGACTTTGACTTGGTATTCATGACTTGACTTAGGCTTGAGACAGATGACTCGAAAGGACTTTACTTTCTAAAAGAAAAATATTTGCATTTGTATTGTAAGAGTTGGTGAGGGCTGATCATTTATTCCGGGAAATTACTCAGACCTACTTATTCCACCTCTGGTAGCGTATTAGCCTGAATTGTAGCCACAAAATCACGCAGAGCTGCATAAAAATAGACTCACAATGGTAACAAGTGGAAAATAATATTTACAAATGTGTACAATAATTTGTAGGTAATTTTGACTACTCAAGACACCTGACTTATACATCTTCATAGGAAGACTGTGTTCATTCTACAATTACATGGGATTAAAGCAAAATGTAGTTTTACTTGCATAATACTTCAATTTGATATAAAAGACAGTTTGTTTTCATCTGTTTTCAAATAAACAAAGTCTTGTCTTTCAGAATATTAAACTTGTTTCGGCAAATTCAGATGATAAATACAACTTTGAAGCTTGTAACGGCATAATTACAAGCAGAGAACGGAGTAATTTAACGCCACAGCAAGCATAACAGCCGCCGGTGTTTATTATGAGTGTTTCCCCGGTACACAAACATAAACACACTCGCGAGCTTCCCCCAGACCAGTAATACAAACGAAAATGTGTTTTCGGGTCAATGTGACTTCGATAGAGCAAGTCACATTTGGTTTAGGCACGAAACATACTACCAGTAGAAATACATTGCTTTTAAAAATCGCTCTGTGTCGAATCAATAGATTATATTTCGTGACTATAACACGAAATGCCGTGAGTGCTTCATCCTCTGAACAACACAGGATGGCGACTGTAACGCACATATTAACATAGGTACGCTCCTCTGAAATTATTGTCGCCTGCAATTATTATTATCCCTCATCGAGTTCGTTATTCAGCTTGCTAACGTTAGCTTAAACAAACGTAACATGCAACGTTAGCCTAATCTAAAATGCTCTACTACGGCATACCTTTCATGTGGCTCGTCATCGTTATTTTTTGCAAACTTTGCAGGAGGCTACTCGTGGGCTTGACCCTCGTCTTAGCCATGGCTTGTATTTGTCTTCTGGTAGCCAACGCTCGTTGAAACTGCAACCTCCTGGCATACTGTCATCTATTAGCAATTAAGTGCGCTCCGACTTCTTTATTTTCTTTTAATCTAAAAAGCGAAGTAAAGCATGTACAATTTCAAGCACTTTATCCCAAATTCGAGCACCATTCCCAAAATGCAAGCACTTTTCAAACCTTGAAAACACCTCGTACAATTTCAAGCATTTCCAGCACCCGTACGAACCCTGCCAACACATATTCTTAGATATAAATACCTAATTTTGAATTATTTAGACACAATTAACACTTATAATTTCATGTTTTGTTAATAAGTGTTATTATGGTAGAATTACTATTCTTGTGGTACTACTGCCTTATTAGGCCCATATTGAGCAGAGCACATTAAGACCAAAACTCATGTACAACAACTTCCTTACTTGCAATAAATAAGCACTAATTAGAGGGTTATTGAGGAAAAACTCTCAACTAATGGCTTATTACTTGTAGAATATGGTCATGTAGAATAAGGCATTAATAAGTGTTTTATAATGACTAATAAAGAGCCAATATATTGCTAATATGCATGTTAATTAACAACTGCTTGATGGTTAATTTGTGTACCTTAATATAATGTGTTACCAAAATTAAATTTAAATGAATACTGTTGTAAGGTGTAGGCATATAACAATTAAAAATAACTGAAGATGAAAACTAATAATGTAAAATTAAAACCAACGAGAAAAATAATATAAAGGTTATTTTACCATTTCCTCTTTGATACTGAGGTATTCTCCATTCAAGCTCTAATGATCCATATGATAATAGACAGAGTTTCGTCTTGCCCTCTTTCTTTGCATAATTCACTAAAGATTCTAACAGTTCTACTGCTAAATCCTTTGCATTTGAGCTATTGCTTGTTACTCAGATTTAAATTCCTTCTTTTGCTCTATCGAATATCCCTTGGTACAGAATTTACCAAGACAAATTCTAAATTATTGAGGGAAGATCCCACAAGAAGCTATCCTCTCCTGTGGAAGAAAGCACAAACTAAGGGTTTCATTGTTTCCCCTTTTGTGGCTTAATTCCTGAGGGTATCTACACTCCACATCTGGATCAGACATCATCATCTTCCATGTACCCCATCCACTCATTGCTTTTGCTCCCTGAACAGTTTGTTTAGTAGCTTCAGATATTGAAGAATAAAGAGTGTATATGCACATTTTGGTACCTTGAGACATTTCCCTCAGGGCTGGATAACATCTGAATGCAAGTGCAAGATGCTTCTCTTCAGGAGAGAATTTTTCCTCTGTTCCTGATCAAGTCATGAACATGAATAACACAGATTTTCTATCACCCTGGTTCCTTATCTCCACACCTCCTCCCAAATCATTCGTGGCTAGATGAATTTCCCAAGCTTTCTCCATATCTCGCATTGTTAGTTTCTGAGAATGGGTCACAACATAGTTAAGTTGATTTTGGTAAAGTATTTGAGCTTTAGCTTATCAAAAAACGTCCACCTGGTTTTCAAGATATTGTTGAGGTTTGGTATCTGCTGACCACATAGGTTTTTTTAAAAGTACATGCAAAACAACCGGTATTTGTGAGTCATCTGATCACCACATTGCCTTCTGACAGTTTAATAGTCCTTATCATATTATCGCTCTGTGCTTGCATGCTAGGACCTATTCTCTTTGCCAGAGCTACTGCTATTCCTCCTGCATGTTTTAGATCCCTATTAGCAGGGTTCACTAACATGGTTTGTTGATCCAGTTTAAGATTTTCAATATCTGCCATTATTATTTCCAACATTCCTTTTCCCTGAATATCATGTCTAACAATGTGTTTTCTTCTAGGAGTAGTAAATGGGATACTCAAAAATGGCATTTGTGAGCTTTTATCCCTGTATGGTGGAGGTAGGGTCTCAGACATTATACCACCTGCTTGTTGCTCTCTGTCCAAACGGTAGTCTGACAGGAAAGTATTTAGGTCGCGGTACGCCCGTGGGTCTGGGCTAATCCGACCAGGGGGGGCGGATGGTCCGGATCAAGCTTCTGTGTATCCCTCCCTGTGTGGTTAGCTCTGAGTCATTAAAAAACTGCGTTCTAACCTCATCTGCCATTTTTTAAGGGTTTAAGTACACTCTTTTATACACATGCAAGTTCCTAGACTATTTTTCCCGCCGGGTGTACAGTCCGACTATAACGTCACTTGGTTCTAGGTTAGTCTCCTGGATTCAGCTAGTGCATGCGGATACCTCAACTAAGAGGGTTATGTATCAAGCTTCAAGCTTTTCCAACAGCATAGGTACCCTTTAGACCTGTGACGAAGGTAACTTCGTCACTGTTGACTGACTGCTTCGGGCCTTGCATATTGCACATGTCTTTTATTTTGAAAAGTGTTCCCCCTCCCGTTTTTTCTGTTGCTCCTGATTATGTTCACCTGGTGCCCTGTGTTGTCTCCTCCCCCCAACCCCCCACCCCACCTGTGTATAATTGGTTGATTAGGGTGTGTGTGTATTTAGGCTCTGTTTCACTGTCTGTTAGGAGGCTGGGTAGTGTGTGAGATCCTTGTGGTGGCTGGTGACTGTGCTCACGTGAACAGCAGATTGAGGCTGTGTCATACGTTTGTGAGTAATAAATGCCCACACCGGGTTGTATTTTGGACGTTCTGCCTCTGCCTCCTTGCTTGGTCTGGGCCGCTCAACGGTCAGCTTCACAATTGGTGTCAGGAGTGGGATTGACCAAGTGAGGAGGTGAAAACGATGGAGGAACTGAGGGAGATTATGAAGTCATACATGCAGTATGAGACAGCCAGATTCAAGCGGGAGGAGTGCCGTTTGGGAAACATGGAGCAGCCATTTTCAGGGATACAGGAACAGGTTTCCCTATAGACCATGCTTTTGATCCTTTTGATTACATTTGCCTTCTGCAGACCATGTCTGGCCATACAACTTTCCAAGAAATACCTGAGTGACGGCACAAGCAGGTATGGCGAGGAGCCCCGGCCTCTACGCTGCTACAGCCGTGAGGCTATGCTGGAGCTACAATGCGATCGGCATCATACGAATACATCAAGCCATCTGTTCTCTCCCTCGGGAGCCGCTTAGAAACACCAGGAAAAAGAGACGAGGAAGGAGGGGAGGCGTTCAGAATCGCCTACGGCGGAGATTCAGCCGGCCACCACTTCCATCCATCATTCTCACAAACCTGCGCTCATTGAGCAACAAAGTGGACACACTAAGGACATACACAAGGTACTGTCATGAATTTCGTGGAGAAGTCTTCAGCTGTGGAGAGCTCCGCCCAGGATAACTTGTGATACAACTTCTGTGGCTTGTTCTTGTTGTCAGTCTTATATGTGTATCATATATCGTTATTAATATGATGTCGAGTTGATTTGAGACCTGTTTATACTTTCATACAGTCTGAGTTGTTTACACCCATCTCCTCCAACGCAGCGTGGAGAGCTGTGGTAAACTGTGATCCGCTCAGATTAAACTGCGATACGACTTCAATTGACACTTAAATAAGTCAGCGATGCAAACATTATATATTATATTTGTATTATATCATAACTTAGTACTTTTTTTTAACATATGTAAAATTAAGCTGTCTGTGGCTCTTTCCTGCTGTAACGATGCAAATTTCCCGTTCAGTTACTATAGCGGGGCCCTCTGTGAATTCAAAGCTGGACCGCCTGGACGTCCAACAGCTCCTCTCTTCACAGTAACTCGCAGAGACGAGCTTCTTTAATTTAACCCTTCACATTCCAACAGAAACTGAATAGGCAGATTCAAAGGATTTATTTCTTTGGAAATGTTATTTTAAATACAATTAAATCAAGTTATTTTGGTAAAACTAATGAAAAATATAACTAAAAAAATATATTATTTAATTCTTTTTTTTTTTTAATGTTTTTAAATATTATTTTGTAGAATATCTTAGGCCCTCACAGAGGGCCTAGAGGGCCCTGACGGCTCGCCACTGGTTTTGAGTCTGCTTTTTGAAGTACAGTAAGTAGGATTAAGCATACCGGTAGTTTCTGTGGACCCGTCTGCCCGTTGTGTGAGTGCACTGCGTGCGTGCGTGCGTGCGCACTTGTGTGGCATTGTTTGGGATGACCTAATTAAAATAGCGTCCCCCGAGTAAAAAAATCCCCACTAAACCACTGATCCCGCCTCTCCTGCTCACCCCCCGCGTCATTGCTGATGTGTTTCGCCAACAACAACAACAGTGTTCCGAGTGTTCATTTCGAGTCAGGTCCCGGTATCTCGCAGGACAGTGCACCCAGCGGGAGCCTCCAGCAGATCACCCCCCGCACTGTTCCCTCATCCCTTGGAAGAGGCGGAGAGCAGGGTGTTTTTCATCTAATGTCCTGCTCGGGAGCCAGGCTCAGAGGGCCTGCCTTTTACAGCAGGAGCACACGCTCGCCTCGGGGAGGGAGAAAAAGAGAAACAGAGACTGCCGAAACAGCCAGAGCCCTGCCTCTCTCCCCACCGCTGCACTACACGTTGCTAAATCCTCCGCGGAGAATAAACAGACGGGCAACCAGATAACCATGGCAACCATGCTCGGTCTTCTTCGCTGCTTTTGGTGTCTTTTGGGGCTGAAGTACAGCGCCACTTACAGGACCGGCAAATGTACTACAGCTTCTCCAGCAGGTCGAGTGGTCTAGTGTGAACGGACACGTTTCTGGTGCCTCTTGCGTGTGGACGGAAGACTTTTTATATATCGAATGCGTTTCGTTTGGGTTCTCGTGTGGATCCAGCCAGAGTTACCATAGCTATGCAGATGACACACACATTTACATAACCATTTCACCAGGAGACTATGCTCCAATTCAGACACTGAGTAAGTGCATTGAACAAATCAGTGAATGGTTGTGTCAAAACTTTCTCTAATTAATCAAAGACAAAACTGAGGTAATGGTTTTTGGAGCCAAGGCAGAACGTTTAAAAGTTAGCGCTGGGCTTCAGTGTGCAATGTTCAAAACAACAGATAAAGCCAGAAATCTAGGTGTAGTCATGGACTCTGACCTGAGTTTCAACAGTCACATTAAAACAGTTACTAAATCAGCCTACTATCACCTAAAGAACATCTAGGGTTAAAAGACTAATGTCACAGCAGGATTTGAAAAAACTTGTCCATGCTTTTGTCTTCAGTCGACTCGACTACTGTAATGGTTTCTTTATAGGTCTCACTAAAAAATCTATTAGGAAGCTGCAGCTGATTCAGAACGCTGCTGCTCGAGTCCTCACTAACACTAAGAAAGTGGATCACATCACTCCTGTTCTGAAGTCTTTACACTAGGGATGCTCCGATCGATCGGTCACCGATCGAGATCGGCCGATACTCACTCTCTACCGATCGATCGGTGCTCTCTAAACATGCCGATCGCAAGAGCCGATCGCATGATGTAAAATACATGACACTTTTCTCTGTGTGCGGCAAAACATGCTCGCCAAAATGGCTTCACCGGTCTGGCATTATTTTAAGGTGTCCGAAAAAGACAGTAAAATAGCGGTATGCAACGTGTGTGAAGCAGAAATCCTACAGCTATGCCCGCCGGACCGGTAAGCGCAGCGAAACACACACACACACACAGGGAGAACCAGACCGCAGTTCATTTCCTCATATTCCAAACGAGAAATTACGGTAGAAAATCACCCGGTTCTTTACGACCAGAACTATTAACGGGATACAAACCGGAGGAACCAGGCATGGAGGGAGGTGGCAGAGACAGTGGGGGAAACTGGTAAGTTTTCACCTGTTTGGGGAGTTTATATATATATATATTGCTCGCATAAAATCCCCGGGGTTTTTTGCTTTGTATGTCGGGGGCGGGAGATTCATGTGATTGGTTGTTGGTCGCGTTGCTCGCAAAAAATCCCAAAGCTTTCAGACACGCCCAGCTCCAAGATTTTCAAGATTTTTGAAAAGCTGCTGTGTGGACGTACCGTAAGAGTTAGACCTAACACACTTAGCTATTTTATCTACCTCTGGAACAAGCTAAACTAGTTATTATACATATATGTATTCTTCATTGACTGGATCAGTGAGCTGCATGAGATATTGACAGGCTGTCAGGAGAGGGAGAGAGGGGGGGAGAGAGAGAGGGAGAGCGCTTCCGCTAATTTCTCCCGTGTTATTATCCAAAGTGAATGTAAACTTGAATAATGTACATCATTTGAATGTAATAATTAAGTTGATTGTTGTTTGTGGAAGCTCCAGTGAATGAGCCCCATTAACTGAGTTTTAAACATCACTTTAAATGGAAGATTTAAAGTGATGTTTAAATCTTCCATTTAGGCCTTGCCCACTCGATCGCATCGGCGATCGGCCGATACTGATTCCAGCGATCGGCCCCGAAATTGGCGATCGGAGCATCCTTACTTTACACTGGATTTCAAAATACTGCTGCTGGTTTATAAAGCATTGAATGGTTTGGACCCAAAATACATTTCTGATCTGCACCAACTGTAAAATCTGTAAGGCTGTAAATCAAGGTGGTTGAGTAGACTGATAACAATGCTCTTGAGATCAACACCAAGAAAACTGAGGAAATCGTTTTTGGCTCACCATCTGACTCCCTTAAAGTCCTCATTGTACAAAAAGCAGGGAGTTTCATACAAATACTTGGGTGTAATGATTGACCACCTGCTGTCATGGAAAGAGCACATTGAATATCTGAGCAAAAGGATAAAACAAAGAATTTATTTTCTTAGGTCTTTTTGGCCGAGCAGAGAAATTCTTCAGTTGTTCTTTATATCTGTGATCGTGTCTGTTCTGCAGTACTGCAATGCTACCTTGTACAAGTGTTTGTCAACAGCTTTAAAATCAAAACTGCTCCAACTATTACAAATCTGCTCAAAGATTGTTGGTCCCCCCTGTCAGAGACTTTCTGACTCAGCAGACCATAATAACCTGAGAGGTTGTCCAACAACATCATCTGGGACCCAAAGCATGCTCTGAACAGAGAATATGAACTGCTGCCATCTAATGGAGATTCAATAAAGTCAGACTGAAGCATCCTTTGTGCTCCAGTCAATCCTCTCAGTAAATACAGAGCTGAATCCAGATCAAATGCACGCTGAAGGCTCTTTGAGCAGGTTGTCTCTCACTGATCCTGCTGTTATGTTAAATGTTTGTTGTTTGTTTTTCATGTATTGTGTCTTGATTTGTTTATGTTGATGTTACACATGGAGCTGCTGTGATGCAAGTCACATTTCAGACTTTATCTGACCATTAAAGTATTATCGTATACAACAACGTTCTAAGCTATATCTAACCATATTGTGCATTCATATTGTATTTTCTAAACAGGTTGTGATCTTTCCTTTGGGGATAACGCTGTTAGGAATATATTGTGATGAAGTGCACACTGACCTGAGCTCCACGGGTCTTTTTCTTCTCCTCCATGCTGCTCTCAGTGCTCCTTCTCCGGCTGTGTCTCTGAAATAATCAACACAACTACAGCTGACACAAAACAAGACAACTCAATACAACCGACAGACACAACAAAACTAATCTGGGCATGTCTGAAACTCGACCAACAACCAATCACATGAATCACCCGCCCCAGACACACAAGCACCCGGTTTGATTGGCTAGAGCTTGTACTGGCATATGTTTTGATCAACACATCCTCACTCCCAGGTCGGCCTATGTTGACGTTATGTCAAGTCCCCTGTCGGCTTTTTCCAACGCAAGGGGGGGGGGCCTTAGCGTCCATTTTCAACGCAAGGGGGGGCCCCTTAGCGTCCATTTTCAGCTTTCCGGGATGTCCATATGCTTCTATAGACGCTCATGGAAGCACGGCATTCGTTTGTGTCGGCTGCCCTTAAAGGCAATGTGAGCGTCCATTCTCATTGGATAACGGAGAATTGTACACCCGGAAGTAAGTATTCCCCTTACTGTCGATTGATTTTACAGTGATATCTGCACTACTCATCGACTAAAAAACACCAGATTATCCTTGTTAATTACACAACATTGATTGGTTTAAATTGTGTGCAATGTTTTTGTATTTTTCCCTTTCGATTCGGAGAAACAAATATGTTTTCGGAGTAAAGGATGGCAGAAGACACTACACTACCCAGAATCCCCAGCTATCGTTTGGACTACACCATGTGCTCTGTTTGACGTCATGTGATCTTCAAATTTCTCCCTGAAGAAAAAAAAAAACATGGCCGAACTTCGTTTTATTCTCGATGGAAAATGCCTATTTTAAAGTTAGTTTGGCCATTAAAATGCGTTTTGATGTCATTTGATGCGAGAAATATGAGTTGTTATTTCAGATTATGTGTGCAGTGGGTGTACATGATCTTTAGTTTGCTAGTTATTACGAAGATTACTTCAGGAAATTGCGTCCATAACGTTTTCATTGTTACCAAGGTGGTTGCTAGGGACGCTGCTATCGATATTATTTCTGTTATGTTGTGTAACTGTTTAATGGTGTTATCTTTATTGCTACCCCCTTCCCCGTCAATGTATAGTGTTGGTCCACAGCGAAAACATATTAGTTTAACAAAATCCGCATCTAAAGATAGCCTACGTTATTTTCCCCTGTGCAATTCCAGTCTCACATCTCACAGCACATCGTCATTAACAAATAACGGAAACAGACCGAAAACATTGAAAAAAAATACAATAATACTTTATTCCGAGTGTGCTTGCTTTTCTCTTTGGAAGTCATCACATAACGGCATTGTAATACACGGTTCGGCTGCATTAAATAGTACATATCTGCCGTAGTTCTGTATTTATAGAGCCCTGATGAATAGACTTCTAGACAAACATGAGGAACTGAAAACGTGACGTGGATCATAAATATATCAGCCATTAAACAACATCTTACATTTATTTTTCACACAATACGTCTCCTTGCAGTATCAACACTAATTCGGCTGACTTTTATATTTGATCCAATTGGTAGATAGGCTGTATTTACACCATAACGGTGCACAGCTGATATAAAGGGACACCTAGTGGTTAAAGCATGTTATTGAATTTCATTATTTTTATCATTAGATATTAATAGGATCCCTATAAAGTATATTCATTACTCGTTATTCTCTACTAATAGTCCATTAAAGACTGTATATAATGACTATTTTGCACATCCCTTTCAAGATTTCAAGATTTTCTAAGGTTTATTGACATATCATATAGGCCTACACAACTATGGTGTAGTTATGCATTGAATGAAAAACTTGGGTCGCAGGTTCCTCAATAGTGCATTACAAGACATCTATCAATATTTGTGCGTACCTCCAGCAATGTTAACTATGTTGAAGCACTTATTTTAACTGATATTATACATATGTATTATACTCTTATAAGATGTATGTAGATATTTCATCTCCGACCTTGTCAGGTATTGAACAATCAATAAATAAAGAACACAGAATTGTTGAATATAAAACACAGAATTTGTGTGATTATACTAAATGATTTACAAATAAACACCACTGCATATTTAACTGTTACACATGCTGATGTAACGCAAATGTTCCAACTTGAGATCAATAAAGTATATCTTATCTTAAGCTGATCGATGGCTACTGCCATATTTGTAAAATGTGCCTCTGAACCTTAACAAGTGCATGTTTCAGGCTTATCAATTAATGTAATGTAATGTAATGTTATCAATTAACAACAGGGGTCACAAACATAAGACCAGCTGTTAAATAAAGCTCTTCTGACCTTAGCTGGCATGTGTGTATATATATATTAATGCTGCCCATTATGGGCACAAGCAATTTTCACCCATTTATTAATTATATGTTTTAAATGTGAGTGTTTCCTATCCCCTAAACCTCCAGGGATGTACACAGTTTAATACTGGCAACTTCTTATTATGGGAAATACGAAAACGTCTTTTAAAACTACAACTCCCAGTAGAGACGTGCCATAGATACAGAACATGTTGCGAAACAGAATAGCCAGCATTTGTAGTTCTGGGGACGGGGTGGGGGAGGGGGGGGACGCGGTGGACCCGTTCAAATCCAGTTTTGGACAGTCTGCGTGGTTCCATCCCATTTCAAGTGCTGTTCGAGGCTCGGCGTAACCCTCGGAGCACACTCTCCAATCACAGAGCTTGAGGACTATCACGGGGTTTGTCAAACAGAGCACATGGTGTAGTCCAAACGATAGCTGGGGATTCTGGGTAGTGTAGTGTCTTCTGCCATCCTTTACTCAGAAAAAATATGTGTTTCTCCGAATCGAAGGGGAAAAATACAAAAGCATTGCACACAATTTAAACCAATCAATGTTGTGTAATTAACAAGGATAATCTGGTGTTTTTTAGTCGATGAGTAGTGCAGATATCACTGTAAAATCAATCGACAGTAAGAGGAATACTTACTTCCGGGTGTACAATTCTCCGTTATCCAATGAGAATGGACGCTCACATTGCCTTTAAGGGCAGCCGACACAAACGAATGCCGTGCTTCCATGAGCCTCTATAGAAGCATATGGACATCCCGGAAAGCTGAAAATGGACGCTAAGGCCCCCCCCCTTGCGTTGAAAATGGACGCTAAGGCCCCCCCCCTTGCGTTGGAAAAAGCCGACAGGGAACTTGACATAACGTCAACATAGGCCGACCTGGGAGTGAGGATGTGTTGGTTTTGATTGGCTGACGCTTCCACCGAAGCTTCAAAAGTTGAACATTGCTCAACTATTGCAGCGAGCAACGCGAGCAATGCGCAGCGACGCTCCCACAATGCAGTTCGGCGAAGCATGAAGCTTCAACGCACGCCGCTGTGTGGACGGGCCGTTAGGAATATATTGTAATGAAGTGCACACTGACCTGAGCTCCAGGGGTCTTTTTGTTCTCCTCCATGCTGCTCTCAGTGCTCCTTCTCCGGCTGTGTCTCTGAAATAATCAACACAACTACAGCTGACACAAAACAAGACAACTCAATACAACCGACAGACACAGCAAAACAAATCTACAGCTACTTCGTAGGGTCATAACAGAGGTGAGAAGTAACTAAGTACATTTACTCAAGAACTGTACTTAAAGGGGACCTATCATGCAAAATGCACTTTTGTACGTCTTTTATACATGAATATGTGTCCCCGGTGTGTCAGGGAACTCATCAAGTGTCAGAAAACACAACCCTCTCTCTTTTCCTCCATACCCAAATCTCTAAAAAAAACAGTGCTGCAAAGGATCTGATATAGACTGATCCAGATCAGTCAAAGGTCTTCTTTGTTATTTATTGAGCTTTAAAACCAATGAATAATGACTCTATATAATCATATAAGAATAAAACACGGAGGACGAAGATCTCTTTTTCTCCCCCTCTTCTGAGAACCCAGCAGCTGATCTCAAAGCATGCTCCCCTCTCCTGCAGGGGGGCGTGGTCAGCTGCAGCTCACAGAATCAGCCCCCTAAAAAAACAGGGCTGGAAAGAGTAAATAGAGCGAAATGAGGCATGGCTAAAATGGACGGTTTGGTATTTTGAAAAAAAAACTATATTTATATACTTTATATAGGCATGGCCCTACAATATATTGTTCAGATATAGCATAATAGGTCCACTTTAGGTACCATTTAGAGGTACTTTGACTTTACTTGAGTATTTCTATGTAATGCTACTTTGTACATTTAGAACAGTTCAGAGATAAATGGTGTACTTTTACTCCACTACATGTGTTTAATACCTTTAGTTATTTTAAAGATCTGGATGAATGATGTGAAATATAATCAAGTGTTAAATCAGACTTTAGTTCCACCTGGAGTAAATTCACAAGCTACCCTGCAGTATACAAAGTCATTCAAACTAGCTGCACCTTTACCAGCTTTGAGAACACTTTATGATCAATCATTATAAAACATATATAATAACAAAATGTATTATCAGAAACACACACTCACTGAAGGATGTTACCTCTCTCTCTCTCTTCGTCCTGGTTCTTCAGTCTTTCTTCTCCTTGATAAAACACTGCCGTTAAACACACTAATCTCCCTTTAATGCCTTTACTTATGTTTACCGATCAGCAACGTTCTATAAAAAGCTACGAACAAAAAACGGGAGGCAACAAAAACACGGTTTAACGGATGAAAGCACGGATAAATCACCCTCCAAGGATAAACTAACTCTTTGTATGTGTTTTAAAAGTCTCTTGAAAACATTACATAAGATATAAAATCTGCATCAACGTCTGTTAGCAACGTATAGCTTCTGAGGACCGGAAGCTAGAAACGGACCACGGCAATGCATCATGGGGTTTTTCTTTAAACATCAGTTCACTGCCCCCTGTGGTGAAAAAATAGAAAAAACGAACGCTATTAAAATAAATAATAATTAAAATATTAATAATAATAATAATAGATATATAAAGATTTTATTTAGACTTAGGTTTTCTGAATAAAAAATATGAGTATAATATGGGTGATAATTCAAACACTATAAACCTATCCGAGACTCAGAATGAGAAGGACCTTGGTGTGAATGTTGACAATACCCTGACATTTAGTGACCATATCCGTCGGGCAAGTAACAAAGCGAATGGTATCCTAGCAATGATTCGCAGATCATACACTTATTTGGACTCTGACGTAGTACGTAGTTTATACATCTCTCTTGTACGGCCACTCCTCGAGTATGGGAATGTCGCTTGGTCCCCCATGTACAAAAAGGATGCTGAGCTCATCGAGAAAATACAGAGAAGGGCGACGAAGCTGGTTCCAGAACTAAAGGACCTACCATATCAAGAACGACTGCAAAGTCTTAAGATCCCGAGTATGTATTATAGAAGGGCGAGGGGAGATATGATCAAAGTGTTCAATTATCTCCACAACATCTACAAAACATCATGCCCACTACAACGGGATTATAACACCAGGACTCGTGGACACTGCCTCAAGTTGAAGAAACAGTACTCAAGACTGGCTATCCGCAGCAACTTTTTCAGCCTGCGTGTGGTTGACTTGTGAAATGATCTGCCAGAAAGCGTTGTCACATCCAAGACGGTTAACTGTCTCAAATCCCGCCTCGACCACTACTGGTCAAACATCACCTTCACTTAGTTTGGACTATGTGACTGTTGCCAGCATCCATAGTAAATAAATAATCAGTGATCTACTCATTTATTTATGAGCAACTAAAAGGCCTTAGGCCTATTACAGCCGTATCCTATTGATTGATTGATTGATTGATTGATTGAAAGATGAGACGGGTCAGACGGATTTTAAAAATTGTGTAAAATGTTTTTGTTTGTAATAATATTTTTTTATAATGATTGATTGATTGAGTGTTATCAAAGCTGGTAATGGTGCAGCTAGTTTGAATGACTTTGTATACTGACAACTAACCGAGGGACGAAACAATTATTGGACAAAAAATTAAAAAAAATTAAAAAAATTCATTAGGACTTAAAAATAGTTAAATAAAATAATAATGAAAGATATACAAATCTTGGAAAAAATAATGTTTGTGATTGAAAACACTATTATTAATATAATAGTGTTTTCAAATAACAAATATAATAAAATAAGAGGTAAAATAAGAAAATAAGAAAAAGAAAAAAATTGTAAGAATAAAATAATGTAAAAATAAATAAATAAGAAAATAAGAAAATAACAATTAAATATATCAAATAAAAAAATTATATAATTTATAATGAAATCACAAAAACTACCTTGAAAAAATATATATAAAGAAATGTAATATAAAAACTATTTTTGACTAAAGCAATAATTTGTTTCAACTATTGTTATATTATATATATGTATTATAATATATTTATATTGAACGCTTTGCATCATGGGATTTTAGTATTTATTTTTCACAGCAATTCACTGCCCCCTTGTGGCGAAAAAATTAACGGTATTAAAATAAATAATAATTACATTAATAATAATAATAATAATAATAATAATAATAATAATAATAATAATAATAAATATAAATATGGGACTGGTATGACGGATTTAAACATTGGGAAAAATGCTTTGGTTTGTGATAATACATTTTATTATTATATATGTTTTGAATATAATGATTGATCATCTCAAAGCTGGTGAAGGTGCAGCTAGTTTGAATGACTTTGTATACTGCAGGGTAGCTGGTGGATTTACTCCAGGTGGAACTAAAGTCTGATTTAACACTTGATTAAATTTCACATCATTCATCCACATCTGTGAAGTAACTAAAGGTATTAAATACATGTAGTGGAGTATAAGTACACCATGTACCTCTGAACTCTAGTGGAGTAGAAGTATAAGGTAGCTAAAGTAAAGTCTAAGTTTCTCCAAATTGTACTTCAGTACAGTACTTGAGTAAATGTACTTAGTTACTTAACACCTCTGTTAAAGATACATGTAAAATGATCATAAAATCACTCAAATAGGATGCAATAGCGTATTTAGTTTAGTTATATTTACTAACTTTTACTAAATAATGTCAGAAAGTGTTTCCATCACCCACAGAAATGCAACTTGCTTTTTGCTGAATTTGAAATTCATTAGCCTACTTACATCCAAACAGTCTGTGTACATTCCTCTCATATTCTGTTTGTAAACTAGTGAACAGAAAAGGAACTGCAAAGGGTTTTAGAGTTTTTAGTTTTTACCTTAATGACCAAAATATCTTTGAGTGAGAGGAGGGAGGGACCTCTCGGAAGTAATTACCAAACAAGATCCTTCGTCTGGTAAAAGACCCTCGATGGCAGAGGAAGGTTTTGGCTATTGATAAGAAGAGTCTTAAAGAGGGCGGGATCAGGGATTAGTCAAAGATATTCAAGACACATTTTGAAAACAGAAAATGAACGAACATAGCTGAAGGCAAAATATATGAACAGATGTATCAAGAAACAGATCCTATCTCCATATCTAATGAACTCTGGAAAAAGTGGTGTTTTAAACTATAACATTCATGACAGGGGAATGAACCGTGGGCTCCGTAAACAGAACCAAGTCTTAGACCTCTAGTCCACGATGAAGAGTTTTAGATATATGAAACACAGGTGTTGTCTGACAATAAACGCACCAAAAAAAGCAGTTTTAACCTTGTGATCACGATGAAATAGTGACATTGTGTGGCATTGCTTTTGATTGAACTGTCAAATATTAAAGCCTTAACAAAGAGACAGATGTTCTGGGTGGTGAACCCCAGGCCCCTGCATGTAAAAACAATTCTTAGACCACTAGACCATTGTGAAGAACTCTGTATGACCAAAAAACAGATCTTGTTTTAATCTCGTCATGAAAAACACTTTGAAAAGCGACGTTTTCAACTATTAAATCCTTTGAAAACGCACATTAGACACAAAATAAATGTTGACTTGAAAACATGTGGAAATATAGTATTGTGGCACTGCTTTTTACATTACTGAACTGTGTTACGGTCTCTGCCTTCTATCTGCTCATTAATCTGTCTGTGAGCGTTTCCAGCTGTGTGTGATATGTAAATGAGCTGTGCAGTAGCCCTGACGTCATTGGCTGCCCATCCTCTGGTCCGCCCCCGAAGACTGCGATAGAGTGGCAAAGTCACGCCCATCTACTTCTGCCCCATGGGACCTTATTTCTGAAAAATTATGCATTGAAGTCAATGGAGAGAGAAAGATTATCTTTCGATCCCGTTTGAATTGTGCCACGAATTACACATATCAATCAATCAATCAATCAACAACTTTATTAATCCCGCAAGGGGCAATTGGTTATGAGCAGCAGCTTATGTCATGAACACAGGCAGGAACATACAAGAAGAAAACACACAGATACACCCGGGAGCACAGATGTGAATAATTCTAATTTACACTATAAATAGTTCAAAGCATCACAATAATAAATAAATAAATAAATAATCTAGTTAAAAGCCTTTCAAGAATTTAAAAGTTTGAGTGCAGAAGGGATGAATGATTTAG